CACCTGGAGGATTAGCTGGAGGGCCTATATTTGAGATTTCTTTACACAGATCCCACCATTGGGGTCTCTCTGTCTGTCCTCTGCTCTTTTTACATAAGGGAAATGGAGTCTGGTCCATTCCTATCATCACTGCATAGGGCAACGACTTTACAAAACCCAATCTGCCGTTTAAACTTTCCCCCCCACTTCCAGTGGAATGACTGCCATGGGTTAAGTATTATTTTCCCCGTGTACATAATGGATTGTTATAATCAACCCCTTCTGCTGCCACTACCATCTAACCAGGGTTCTCCATACATGGGAACATGCGGCTGCTGAATCCACCATGCCCCTTGTGGTTCTCCAGCCTACATTGATAGGGATTTATCCCTGGTTCGCCTTTTATGCCTGTCCACCCACAGAACTCTGGAAACCCACAGTCCATGTGTAGGCAGCCTCTCTTAAATGTCCTTTGCTACCAAATTGGTAAGAAACCACTGAGTGGGCCCTAGGGGCCCCCTTGTGTGTCCCTTGCATTCCCTTCCAGTGCTTTGAAGACTGAGGTGCCTCAACCTTCTTCCCCTCTTCCACATACTCCTCCATTAGTTTTACAGTGGACTCCAGTGATTATGACTGATGCCTTCAGACCCAAACTCTCTCAGCCTCGGAGAGGCTCTGGGTAAACTGCTCAAGAACAACTGAGTCCATTATGGCCTCTGTGTCCTGCCTATCTGGCCTCACCCATCGATTGTCCCAGTCAGATCATTTTTGCACAAAAGTCCAGGGATGTATCATGCCGTTCCATCTGGCTGCTCTAAATTGCTGGTGGTATTTCTCCACTGACAGGCCCACCCTGTCCAGAATAGCAACCTTCAGTATACAATAGTCTTCAGCTTGATGCTCTCTCAGGGCCATCTCAGTCGCCTGAGCCTCACTGGTCGGGTAAGGCGCTAGTTGTAGTGCCCAGGCACCCTTGTACCATCTGGCGCAAGTAGCCACCCACACAAAAGTCAGCAAAAAGGCATCAGGGTCATCCCTGGGCCGTCCTACATAATCCCAGGCTGCCTGACTTCCAGTTCTCTCACTGGAACTCACCAACCTCTGCAGGAGCTGCAGCTACTGTACCTAAAACTGCTCCTTGGTGAATTCCTGCAAGACGGTGCAGAGAGGGTTGTGACACAGCTGGGATACCCTGCTGGGTTGAAGGATCTTCGGGTAGAGGGGAGGAACCAGCTCAGCTAAGGAGAGGCCACACCCAAGAGCAGGAGGGTGGTCCTGGAGGAACGTGGCAGGGTAGGACGCGGGAGTGGAACACCGCAGGGGGCCTGCTGTCCAGAAAATATCCACGTAAATATGACAGGCAATTTATATATTTATTTGTTTAGCTTTGAAGGTATTTGCAGCCAATAAATACTTGTAGATTTCTGTACGTTATTATTTGTATACATTGATTAAATTGGTAATGCAATATTATTACTGGGAAGAGGCTCTCCTAGGTTCTCTCACAGGGGGCTTCCAAATTTCTTGTAAGAGCCCTGGTCATTGGTCACTATAACAAGGTTGGGACTCACCACCACGGCGCCTCCTACTGGTTACTCCAGGAATTAGCTCAGTCCAGTGGAGCGTCCCCTCTTGGTGGTATCCTGCCCGTTGTCTTGCCCTCGGTTGGCTTCTGAGCCCACGTCACTCACCAACTCGCAGCGTCCTCTTCAGGACCACTGCCCTCTGGCAGTGCCCCTCAGTCCTTCCGCATCCCCTTCCGGGGGGCGGGGGGGTGTCAATCAGCAGTCTCTATGTCCAGCCACTGTGGTCAACCACACATCCCAAAGTCTAATCCCTCCTATCAGGGATATGGCGTGGTCTATAATGGCCGCTCCCTACAGCCAATGGCTGGGTGTACTGCAAGGGGGGAAGGGGAGGTCCCAGGCCCAACCTCTTCTCTGGGTCCCGACCCAGGGACCTTCTGGCGGCAGCCTCGCTGTCCTTCTTCTCTCCCCTCATCTGTCCGCTTTCCTGGGCCGCTTCCCCTACGGCCCCTTGCACCCGCTAGGCCCTTCCCTTCAGGGCCTGCAGCCTGGCAGGCCTCAGGCTAGAGCTCCCCTCTGCTCCCTGAGCCTGGCCAGCACTGCGCTGTCCGCGGTGCTAATCTCCCTGCTCTGGAGACAGACCTTCCCCTGTCAAAGGCCTGGGACAGATTGACTGCTCTCTCCCTGAGCAGCCTTCTTATAGGGCTGAGCCTGGCCCTGATTGGCTGCCTCCAATCTGGGCTCTGATTGGCTCCCAATAAGCCCTTCTCCCATTGGCTGTGCGTCTGTGCAGGCTCACTGGCCTGCCGCAGCCCATACTCTCAGGGAGTGGGGCAGCCGCCCCACTACAGTCACCTTTTGTTGAGGTTTTACCAGCTTTGCCCATTACTTTGGGGTATGCTCATTTATTAGGGTTACCTGACCCCTTATATGTCTCTGGACTCAGCACATCCCTATCCCCATTTTCACACTACAATTGTTCTGGCAGTAACCCACTTGATGACCAAACCCCACAGGATTTTTGGGCGCTGCAGGGATCTTTTAGCTTAGGTACGAGGAGAGTTGCTGCAGAGCGAATGAGGAAACCAAAAATAAAACCACCCATTAGGGGGCGGGAGAGAGAGAGAGAAGCAACCAGCTTAACCATGAAAATTATTTATTGCCAGGTAATAACCATAGGGGAGCCGAACAAACAAAACAGTTATAATTTTAAATCTAACTTAAATTTGATTATAAAAGTCAGGTTTAGAAAACTATAACTGATCCCACAAGTCAGGATCAGTTGAGACCCTAGAGAGAGAGAGAGAGCTGGGTTCTCACCACACCACTCTGTGAAGCTTGAATTGATCGGGGGGTCCCAGGTGGTGGTGGTAGCTTAGGGTCCGGAGTGCTGGAGACAGGCAGAGCCCCAGCACGATCAGTCAGGAGAAGATGAATCCCAATGGAACTGATGCAGACCTTGGATCCAGGCATCAGAGCACTTACTTGAGCATGGGTAGGGTTTTTTTTTTTGTAGAGAAACAACAGTGGTTCAAGAACATAAGAATGGCCATACTGCGTCAGACCAAAGGTCCATCCAGCCCAGTGTCCTGTCTTCCAACAGTGGCCAATGCCAGGTGCCCCAGAGGGAGTGAACCTAAAAGGTAACGATCAAGTGATCTCTCTCCTGCCATCCATCTCCACCCTCTGACAAACAGAGGGTAGGGACACCATTCCTTACACATCCTGGCTAATAGCCATTAATGGACTTAACCTCCATGAATTTATCTAGTTCTCTTTTAAACCCTATTATAGTCCTAGCCTTCACAACCTCCTCAGGCAAGGAGTTCCAAAGGTTGACTGTGTGAAGAAGAACTTCCTTTTATTTGTTTTAAACCTGCTGTCCATTAATTTCATTTGGTGGCCCCTAGTTCTTATATTACGGGAGCAAGTAAATAACTTTTCCATATTCACTTTCTCCACACCACTCATGATTTTATATACCTCTATCATATCCCCTCTTAGTCTCCTCTTTTCCAAGCTGAAAATTCCCCAATCTCTCCTCATATAGGACCCATTCCAAACCCCTAATCATTTTAGTTGCCCTTCTCTGAACCTTTACTAATGCCAGTGTATCTTTTTTGAGATGAGGAGACCACATCTGTACGCAGTGTTCAAGATTTATATAAGGGCAATAAAGATATTCTCCATCTTTTTCTGTATCCCTTTTTAAATTATTCCTAACATCCTGTTTGCTTTTTTGACCGCCGCTGCACACTGCGTGGACGTCTTCAGAGAACTATCCAGGATGACTCCAAGATCTCTTTCCTGATTAGTTGTAGCTAAATTAGCCCCCGTCATATTGTATGTATAATTGGGGTTATTTTTTTCCAATGTGCATTACTTTACATTTATCCACATTAAATTTCATTTGCCATTTTTTTGCCCAATCACTTAGTTTTGTGAGATCTTCTTGAAGTTCTTCACAGTCTGCTTTGGTCTTAACTATCTTGAGCAGTTTAGTATCATCTGCAAATTTTGTCGCCTCACTGTTTACCCCTTTTTCCAGATCATTTATGAATAAGTTGAATAGGATTGGTCCTAGGACTGACCCTTGGGGAACACCACTAGTTACTCCTCTCCTTTCTGAGAATTTACCATTTATTCCTACCCTTTGTTCCCTGTCTTTTAACCAGTTCTCAATCCATGAAAGGATCTTCCCTCTTATCCCAGGACAACTTAATTTACATAAGAGCCTTTTGGTGAGGGACCTTGTCAAAGGCTTTCTGGAAATCTAAATCAAGGGAGAACACTAGATTTGTTTATGTGTAAACAAGGGAGTTTACCAAAGTTGTTTTGTTCAGGCTAGACATGTGAGCTGATCATTCCTGGCTTTGAGCGGTGTTCCTTGGAGGGAGCCCACAATGCAATTAGGGAGCTTCAGTATTTTGGATATCAATAAAGGATTTATTACTAGAATTGGTCTGATAACTACTGCTGGGTGGGTGCAGGTATGGGTTCATTAACATTTGGAGCAGAGATCCCCCATCATGCACTGCTTCCCTGCTTCTCTGGTCCCAGAGTTCTGTGCGGTTCTTGCCTTGGAATCTCTGTTCTCCATTCTGTATGCTAATGAAGATGCCTCCTTGTCCCACCTTCAATGCAAATGGGGCTACAGGAGTTTCCTTAATCCTGTCACCCTTATCCAAGGGGTTTAGGTGTTTCTCCCACAGCCTTTTCATTGCTTTTTATAAGTCTTTTTTCTGATTGGTTTTGGTTCAAGCAGAGGGAGGGCTTTCATGAGTCAGACAGGCTGGGTACTGCACCCTGGTTCCCCAAGAACACACAGCTGCTAGGTAACAGGGGTTGCTGCTGGTCCTTTCCATTTCTATTCATTGTGTTTGCAAATAATTGTCAGGGACAAACAAAGTGTGAGAGAGCTGCCACTTGTGGGTTTTATGAGTGGCCTTGAGATGCCTTCTTTAGATTTATCATTTCTGCTGAGGGAATCAGGAAAAATACCTTATGTTACCCTGAAGCAGGATTCAGGGCCGTGTGATAAAATTGTATAACATGGAGTTAAATTGTTGATGATTGATTAATGATTAAACAATGATAAATTGGTTGTGGAGTTTCTTGTATAAATGGATGAATCCTCAGCCCTGAGTTTGAAAGCCGAAGAGGACTTTCAAGGTTTCTAACACCATATCAGCTGCTCAGTAACACCATCTCAGAATGGGTGAGTTGAGCTGATCTCTTTGTTTCATGGCTGCATAACTGAATGTGTGGGTGGAAGCATCTGCTAGTCTTTCCTAGTTTACTCCATGCTATTGTGCTGAGAACTTGTTGCCATTAACTTGAATGCTCAGTTAAAATCTAACAGTGTCAAACAGAAGCTCCTGTCAATGTGCAGAGATATATGTTTGTTTCCATACACAGCAAGTACTTTCAGTCTAAAATGACTTTAGTTAGATTAAGAAAAATATTGGTCAGAAAGAACAACAGTGAAGTCACCATGAAGGAGCACAATGGGTGTGTGTGAGTTTTATCTAGGACAGGCAGAAGCAACTCTCAGAGCAAAATGGCTACAGAATTCTGCAAACAGGGCTCTTAGAAATGTAAAGGTGAAATAAAAAGAAAACAATAAAGCATCAGTTTAATCACTTACTTATACAGCATTGTAAACCCCTGACAGCATCACAGAATGAACGGAAGGTCTTTGCCAGGATGAAGAAGGTTGCAACCTGTCAAAGAGACCCGGCAACTTGGGATTCCGCTATGGCTCTCCCCAGTATCCGGGTTGATCACGAATTGTAGGAGGCTTTCTTCATGTCCTCATTTTAGGCTGTGAGGGAAAGAAGAAAATGGAGTAACCTTCTGGGGTGTATATTGATGAGGCAAAGTGGTTGCGTTTAGGTCTGGCCTAGCTGGCTCATCTTAACTAAGCTCAACCTAAACTCAATCTTTTTCCCAGTCAAGATAAGGCCTTTGTTTAAGTCTCTGGTGATGCCCCCATCACCCTTTTCCTAACATTTTTCATAGAATAATAGATTTTAAGCCCAGAAGGACAACTTGGACCATCAAGTCTGAATTCCTCTATACCACAGGCCTGAGAACTAAGCCCATCCTTAAGCACTTTGCTGAATCAAGGCCAAAATGAGGATTAGGAGGGAGTCCAGGCCTAAGGCATGTGGAAAAAGCAGCTTTCCTCTTTCAAGCTCTGTCTTTGATATAGAAAGTTCTGTTCTTCAGTGGAACCCAGGTTGATCCAGTGACTATATGGATGGGCTCAGTACTGAGAGTTCAGTCAGAAGCTCTGCGGTGTGGGAAGGTTTTAGTATCTGACTCCTATCTCCTGTCTGCTCCTCTACAGGACTGCCATCCTGGGCACCGCTTGCCGTTCTGTACCTGCTCGCTCTTTCCTTTGCTGTTAAACTTCCTACTGGCAACGTGCAGCTCTTTCATGGCTCTGAAGGTGACATCCTGAACCTGGAAGATATCAGAACAAAGAGTGGTGAGCCGTGAAACAATCAAAAGGCTGGTTGATATCTTAGATGGAATGAAATTCATGCTGGGCTGGAAATGAACAGAACAGGGGTTTGGAGAGGTTTGGTTAAAAAAAAAATTCCCTACAGATCTTAAAGCCAGAAGGGATGGCCAGACTGTGTCACCCAGGGATTCTTACATCAAGCCAATCACTTCTGGTTGCACTAGTGCAAATCTCTTGGACACCCAATCTCATTTTAAAGACTTCAAGTGATGGATTGAGACCTGCCACATCTCTCATTAGCTTGCACCAATGGTTAATCACCCTCATTGTTAAAAAGGCACATTTTATTTCCAGTCTCAGTTTGTCTAACTGGGTGGGGGAGGGGGCACAGCTCTGGCACTAGATAGGGTGGGGACAGCCCTGGCCATGGCTGCTGGCAGCCCCCAACGCTGACAGCTCCAGTCCTGGCTGCAGCTGAAGAAGTCACGGAAGTCTGTTAAAGTAACAGAATCCGTGACATCCATGACTAAATCGTATTCTTGCTCCTGAGTTAAGATCCAGAGATCCCAGATCTGATCTCCGCTGCCAACAACCCCTCCACGGGCTTGGTGTGAGAAGTGGTGGCCCCTATGGGGAGTGAAGACAAATGCACGGGAGTGACAGGAAGGGTACAGAGAGAGAGGTGGTGAGGCTGCTGAGCTTTGGGTGCTAATGGGTTCCAAGAGGTGAAGGAACATTGCTGTCAGGGAGGCTATAGAGTAGCTAGCAATGGAGCCGTGTTGATATACAATGCCCCAGCTTCTCCACAAGGAGTGTTAGGGTTACAGCGTAATGGGATGTGGCCATGACACGCTAGAGTGATGGTTCCTGAAGGTGTCCATCCTAGCCCCTAGAGTTTTCATTTAGTCATTCATAACTCTGAAACCTTCACTTTTTCCACCTGAAATTTTCCAGGCTTGTTCTCTGCCTAAAGGTGAAGTTTTCAGAATGTTTGACTAAAAAAGCTCAACCACTTTTGAATACCAATATTTTTTTTTTATGATATCAAGTTTGGCAGACATTTGTTTTTACCAGCCCCAAATCAAAACAACTGCTGCCTTGAATGGTGGAATCTGTACACTCCTTATCTACTGTTTGTGAGGAAACGCTCAGCATAGTCCCCACCCCTTTGCCCATCCCCACTTCCTAATCATCCCCAAGGAAATACACTGACATGAATCCAGAGGTGAAAGTAAGCTGGTACGGGCCGGGTGCAGTAGCATACCCGCAAGAAAATGGAGCCTTTTCTCCCTCTCTGACTCCTCCTCCTGGAGTCCAGCAATATTGAGGGTCCGGGCCCCACCTGCCTCCCCCCCCCCCCCCGCCGCCTCCCCTGAGTATCCAGATGCTTTGGAATGGATAATTGTCTCCGTGCCGACTTCAAAGCTTGTTTCATTGTCTGCACAAATCTTTCAGCTAATCCATTGGTGGATGGATGATATGGTGCTGAAGTGATGTGGTGTATCCCATTTGCCTTCATAAAATTTTGAAACTCCTGAGAGATGAACTGCGGTCTGTTGTCACTCACAAGTTGTTCTGGCAGACCGAAATGACTAGAGTCCCCGTAGTTTTTGGATAGTACTCTCTGCAGTAGTGGACTGCATTATAGAGACTTCTGGCCATTTAGAATGGGCATCTACCACCACCAAGAAATTGCTTCCTTCAAGGGGCCCAGCGAAGTCAACGTGAATACGTTGCCACGGGTTTTCAGGCCAGTCCCATGGGTGTAGGGGTGCCCACTGGGGTGCATTCCTCACACCCTGACATGACATACAAGCTCTTGCCTTCTCTTCAATAGCACTGTCCAATCCAGGCCACCAAAAATAGCTTTGTGCAATTTCCTTCATGCACACTATTCCACAGTGACCGGAATGGAGCTGTTCTAACATCTGTGATCTCAGTGGTGGTGGGATAATGACACATCTCCCCCACAACAACCAACCAGATTGGATTGATAACTCCGTCCTCCTGGACATGTAGGTAACAAGGTCGGGTGAGACCGGAGAGGTGTGTTGAGATTTTCCATGCATCACTAGGTCCATAACTTGGGACAATACTGGGTCAACGTGAGTTGCCTTCTTTATCTGAGTAGCAGTGATGGGTGTATTCTCTACCTGTTCAAAGTAGAAGATTTCCTTTTGGGCACTATCTTGATGTTTGACTGGCAAAGGCAGCCTTGAGAGACCATCGACATTGCCGTGCAGAGTGGATTTCCGATATTTAATTTCATATGTGTGCGCTGAAAGTAACAATGCCCAACGTTGCATACGACTAGCAGCTAATGGGGGAATGCCTGTGTAGGGTCCAAAAATTGATGTCAGAGGTTGATGGTCTGTGAGAAAAGTAAACTTCCACCCAAACAGGTACTGATGAAACTTCCGAATTCCAAAAATGATTCCCAATGCCTCACGTTCGATTTGGGCATAGTTAGTTTCTGCTTTGCTTAGAGTGCGTGAAGCAAAAGCAATAGGTCTCTCTTCTCCCGAAGGCATAATGTGTGACACGACTGCTCCCACTCCATAAGGGGACACATCGCAGACCAATTGTAGGGGTAAGGATGGATCAAAGTGCGTTAGAACTTCAGAATTTAGCAATGCATGCTTAGCTTTGTTAAATGCAACATTACAGGCTTCAGTCCACTTCCAGGTCTTGTTCTTCCCAAGGAGTTCGTGAAGTGGTTTTAGCCGTGTGGCTAACTGTGAGATGAACTTTCCATAATAGTTCAGTAGTCCTGGAAACGAGCGCAGCTGGCTAACATTTCGTGGTGGGGGAGCCTCCACAAAAGCCTTAACTTTTGCAGGGGCCTTATGAAGACCTGCAGCATCAATGATGTGTCCTAAATATTCAACAGAGGGCTGGAAGAATTCACAATTGTCTCTGCGGACTTGTAGGCCATGCTCTTCCAGTCTTTGTAGGGTAGCCTCTAAATTCTTTAGGTGATCCTCCTCATTCCTTCCAGTGACCAGGATGTCATCCAGATAGCACTGGACTCCTGACAAGCCACACAAGATCTGGTCCATAGCCCTCTGGAACAGGGCGGGAGCAGATGTTATTCTGAAGGGTAGGCGACAGTATCGATAAAGCCCCTTATGAGTCACAATCGTCAACAGCTCTTGAGACTTTTCATCGACGTGCACCTGTAAATATGCTTGACTCATATCAATCTTACTGAACTTTTGTCCCCCAGCCAGGCCCGCGAAGAGGTCATCGATGCGGGGAAGCGGGTATTGCTCTGCACATAACACCAGGTTGACAGTGACTTTAAAATCACCGCAAATCCGGAGGGAGCCATCTTTCTTCACTATTGGAATGATAGGAGTGGCCCATGGGATATGGGTAACTGGTATTAGGACTCCATTTGTGATCGGGCGCTCCAGGTCCGCTTCAACCTTGGCCTGATGGCATATGGCACAGTTCTGGCTTTCAGATATTTTGGTGGACTATCAGGTTTAATGTTCAATGTCACAGTGATTCCCTTCATACTTCCCAGATCCTCTCCAAAAACAGCAGCATGTTTCCTTAGTATAGTGGTCAGACCGGTTTCTTCTTTAGTCACTCGGTGCACTTCTGCCCAATTCACCTGGATCTTCCCAAGCCAAGACCTACCCATTCAGGCTGGGTAATTACCTCTCACCACAAACAGTGGCAACTTAGCAGCCTGTCCATTGAGCTCCACCTTAACATCAGTAGTGCCCAACATGGGCACAGCTTCTCCTGTATACGTCTTCAGTTTTTGTTGCCTTAAACGGAAGATGCTGTAGCTTTTCTTTATACACAGTCTTGGAGACCAGCGAGACGGCTGCACCGGTGTCCAGTTCCATGCGTATAGGTGTGCCATCCAACAACGGGGTTACCCAGTATTCATGTGAGCCCACTGCCAAAGACAAAACGTGCAGTGGCACTTCTTCTTGCGATGAGGTTTCACCTTGGTCATCCTGGGTCTGCTCTAGGGTATGCAGGGTTCCCCTTTTGGTCGGCCAGACCACAGGCCTCTTTTTCTTTTGTTTACAGGCACACTCAATGTGTCCCTTTTTGCCACAGTGTCGACACACCCGGTCCTTACACCAGCATTCTGATGCCTGGTAACCCGGCTTACCACAGCGGTTACATTCCTGACTCCCCACAGTTTTGTGGGTAGGTTCTTGTGACATTTTATGCACCCTAGGGGATGCACTGATGTATTGTACCTCCTTTGTAGCCAGTTCCATGGAGACAGCAATATCAACAGCCTTCTGCAAGGTAAGCTGAGCCTTTGTCAATAGGCGCTTCCATATAGCTTCACTGTGTAGGTCACACACTAACCTGTCACGCAGGGCATCATTTAACATCTCCTTAAATTCACAGTGTTCCGCAAGCTTTCTCAAAGTTACTACAAATTGTACAACTGTTTCATCTTCTTTTTGTTCTCTTTTGTGGAACCTATATCTTTTGGCAATTACCAGTGGTTTTGGGGGGAAATGGGACCCCAAGATTTCCACAATGTCACTGTAAGATTTGGTCTCAGGCTTAACAGGGTGTAGTAAGCTGTGTAGCCGGGAGTAGGTTTTAGCCCCTACAACACTTAAGAATACTGGCACCTTCTTTGCTTCTGTAATGTCATTTGCAATAACCAAAAGCTCAAAACGCTCAGTATACACCTGCCACTGCCCGATATTCTCATCAAAAGGGTCCAGTGTCCCTGTAAGTGTAGCCATGGTTTTAGTTTCAGTTTCACAGTCAGTGCCAACAAGCAACAGCTAAAGGAGTTTGGTAGGGTTTTTCTTTTTCTTTACCTTGACTTCTACTTCTTTCTGATGCTGGGGCAGCACAGGAATCCCGCCCTCGTCGCCACTTTGTCATATCCTTGGGGGCAGCAGGTTTCGGAAGAAATCACTTGAGACCAGAGAGCAGCAAGCTTACAAAGCAACCATTTATTTACAGACACTCACTGACCTGGTCAGCCAGTTGGAACTGACTGGCTATCCCCTAATAATCTAACTCAGTTGCCATAGGAACAAAAACCATGACAACTAAATACACAACAATAGGAACCCCATTGTGCTGGGCGCTGCACATACAGGTCCCTGCCCTGAAGCGTTTTAGACAGGACAGACAGATGGTGAGGCAAAGGGGAGAGATTATCCCCACTTGACAGACACAGAACTGAGGTGCAGCGATTTAACGACCTGCCCAAGGTCTTGCGGGACGCTGGGGTCAGAGCCAGAAATTGGATCCAGATCTCCCAAGATCTTTAGCCTCCAGAGCCTTAACCTCAAAGTCATCTGTCCTCTCTAATACAGAACCAAAACGAGGTCTGCAAATCCCACAGAAAACCTAAATGGGCACCACAGAGTGCCCTGTACTCAGTTGGCTGACCACCTTCAGCCATTCACATCTAAGGGCTACATTGTGCCCCTGCCGTGCTGGCCATTCAGTGGGGGAGGAAACAAGTTGCTCTGGATCCCAACTTCCCGGAAGTGTGTGTGTGGTGGGGGGGAAGGTGGGGGGGTCCCCTCAGCTGGCCACTCAACCTTGTAGACAGAAGCAGCACTGCCTGGAGCAAAACGGTTCCTCTCTAACTGACTCTGATGAAACTGACCCTGGAATTTTGTTCCATTTCAATACCAAAAAGAGGCAGAGAGCAACTGTCCGGAATTTAGAGACTATAGTGACTATAATCCAATCTCATACTTTCAAGGCTTCAGCCAGTCAGCCGCAGGAGTCAGGAAGGAAGTTTTAGCACAGCTGGCTAGATGTGTTCTGGGATTTGGGTTTTTGTTTGTTTGTTTTGGCTTCCTCTGAAGCACCAGACACTGTCTGCAGCTGGGGACAGCACACCAGATGGGGTGGCGTAGTGCTTGGAGGTGGTGCAAAGAATCCAGTCCCAAGATGCCTGACTAGTGTGTCTTGCTCACATGCTCAGGGTCTAACTGATTGCCAGGTGTGGCGTCAGGAAGGCATTTTCCCCAGATCAGATTGGCTGGGATCTTGGGGGCAGGGGTTCTCCTTCCACTGCAGCATCGGCAGGGATGGTGTCCCTAGCCTCTGTTTGCCAGAAGCTGGGAATGGGCGATGGGATGGATCACTCGGTGATTCCCTGTTCTGTTCATTCCCTCTGGGGCACCTGGCATTGGCCACTCTCGGGAGACAGGACGCTGGGCTAGATGGACCTTTGGTCTGACCCAGTCTGGCTGTTCTTATGTTCATGGAGTGTGGATCATCATCTGGGATCATCTGGGCACATCTCTCCTAATCAATTCCCTGCCATTGCAGACACCTCGGGCACTAGTGGCACCTCAGTGTCTCCTGTTCTCTGCCTGTGGCACACAGTTTAATTTCCTGGGGACTGAAATGCTTTCGTCTAACTGAAATCTTCGGGCTTAACATAGAGGGATCAGGTGAACTGTAATAGCCTGTGATACACAGGAGGTCACACTACATGATTGCATGGTTCCTTCTGGCCTTAAACTCTATGCAACTATGAAACTAGGAAAGAGGACAGCAATGATTAGCGAGTTGTGGGAACTGATTTATGAGATGGTCAAAAGATCAAAATGTGGATAGTATGACTAAAGGGGGACATAAGGTGGGGGTATCTACAAGGATTGGAGGAGTCTAAACACAAAGGAGAAGTGTGATAAATAAGGGGGGGGGGTAGAGCTCCCTTTTATGGACACCCAGCCAGCCAGTTAGCTATAAAGTCCCTCTTGGTGGCTGCCTCTTTACCTGTAAAGGGTTAAAAAGTCCCCAGACAAAGAAAAGCGAGTGGGCACCTGACCCAAAGAGCCAATGGGAAGGCTAGAACTTTTTAAAATGGGGGGAAAGCTTTCCCTTTGTCTCTCTGTTGTTCTCGCTGGGCTGGCGGGACAGAGCAACAATGCTGTAAGCAGCTTTAAGCCAGGTATGATCATAAATCATCGGATCCTGCCTAGAACGACGTATCTGAACTCCACATGGGTAAGTAGATCAGCATGTTTAGCTAGACCAGATCAGGTTTAGTTCTGTTTATATTTTAATGCTTGTGGACTCCTCTGTGCTAACCCCAGATGCTTTTTGTTTGCTTGTAACCTTTAAGCTGAACCCCCAAGAAAGCTATTTTGGGTGCTGAATTTTTGTAATCGTTTCTTTTAAGAGCTAACAAAAAGCCTAAATTCCAGATGTATTTTTTTCCTTTTTATCTTTTTTAATAACAGGATTGGATTTTTGGTGTGCTAAGAGGTTTGTGCATGTTGTTTGATTAACTGCTCATTTTCTTTGTTTTCTTTCTAATCTCTTCCCCGGAGGGGAAGTGAAAGGGCTTGAGGGTACCCAACAGGGATGAATTCCCAAGTGCTCCTTCCTGGGTTCAAAGGGATTTTTTTTGCATTTGGGTGGTGGCAGCCTTTACCAAGCCAAGGTCAGAGAGAAGCTGTAACCTTGGGAGTGTATACAAGCCTGGAGTGGCCAGTATTAATTTTCAGAATCCTTGCGGGCCCCCACCTCCTGCACTCGGAGTGACAGAGTGAGGTTTCAGCCCTGACAAGGGGGAAAGACTATCTAGGAAGAAATGAGGGTAGCATGAACCCAGGAGTAATGAGGAAAAAGTTAAGGAAAGGAAAATGTAAGAAGAATATGAGGAATGTCTCCTTAAAGGTGGAATAAATGCGGCTGTGAAATAATCTCCCAAGATCCTGTATGAGGTAGAAACCCCATCAGCTGAGACATTTAAAAATGGACTGGACAAAACACTACAAACTGTTCTGCAGGGAAAGGCCCCATTGATATGACAGTGACCTCTGTGACTCTTCTGTGCACTGTATTTCAGGGTTCCCCAGAGACTGTGACAGTATCCCCAAGAACAGCAGCAGTGGAGTCTATGTCATCCAGCCGGCAGGCTCTCCCCCGCTGGTGGTGTGGTGCAACATGGACACCAAAGGACAAGTCTGGACGGTTGTCCAGAGAAATTCTTACAACACAGAACTTGAGTGGAATGATTCCTGGGCAAACTACAAGTATGGCTTTGGTGATGTGCAGAATGATTACTGGCTGGGGAATGAGTACATCTCTCTGCTCACAATCCAGGGAGCCTACAAGGTCCGCTTTGTAGTACAGGATGCATCCAACAATACTCACTATGCTGAATATGACACCTTCAGTGTAGATACAGAGTCACGTGGCTATGCCTTGCGGCTGGGCAGGTACACGGGAGCTGGAAAGGATTTGTTCACTAAGGAAGACGTCGTGCATGACAACATGAAGTTTTCTACCTATGACAATGATCAGGACCTATCCAGTACCGCAAATTGTGCAGAAATTTATCAGGGAGGCTGGTGGCACAGCAAATGTTATTATGTCAAGCTCAATGGGAAAGGCAAGAATGTTCGGTGGAGTGGCGTCTGTTCGGCTGAAAACTGCCGCTCTACTCTCATTCTTGTTAAACGGGTCTGCTGATCCTCCATCAGGGGCTTGAACCCCGCTGGAGAGTCCATGATAGGAAAAACTATTTCTCTAGGAGGGTGGTGAAGCACTGGAATGGGTTATCTAGGGAGATGGTGGAATCTCCTTCCTTAGAGGTTTTTAAGGCCTGGCTTGACAAAGCCCTGGCTGGGCTGATTTAGTTGGGGATTGGTCCTGCTTTGAGCAGGGAGTTGGACTAGATGACCTCTTGAGGTCTCTTCCAACTCTAATCTGCTATGATTCTATCTCTCCCAGGAGATGTCTTCACTGCTGAGTTAACTCAGGTGACTCACCCAGGTTTGAGCACCCAGGTCAGCCTATGTCTGGTGTGAGCAGCCTGACCCAATTTACTGCGTCCTCGCGGGTGTTGAGCTCATCTATGTGTGATGCTAGGACTTCTGGGGGTGCATCTCCTAGTCCTTTGTGCTGCAGTATGCCGAGCCACTCTGTGATTCTTTCCCAATGAATTGTGGACACCCAGCCAGCCAGTTAGCTGTAAAATCCCTCTTGGTCTGTTCTCTGCTTGCTTTACATGTAAAGGGTTAACAAGCCCACAGGTAAAGAAAAGGAAGTGGGCACCTGACCAAAAGAGCCAATTGGAAGGTAGAACTTTTTAAAATTGGGAAAGAAACTTTCTCTTTGTCTGTTGTTCTTGGGGCTTCAGGGATGGAGCAGCAAGTCTGTGTAAGGCTTGAACCAGGTATGAAAATTCATCTTAGAATCACAGAATCATAGAATATCAGGGTCAGAAGGGACCTCAGGAGGTATCTAGTCCAACCCCCTGCTCAAAGCAAGACCAACCCCAACTAAATCATCCCAGCCAGGGCTTTGTCAAGCCTGACCTTAAAAACCTCCGATGAAGAAGATTCCACCACATCCCGCTCTCCCCTACTGAGTGTTCTGTTTTAGTGTAACCCTTCTGCCCCTCTGAGTTGGCAGCAACAAGGGCCGGGTTCTGTATCTAGGGGTTCCGTTTCAATAACGCAATGCAAAACCGGCTCAAGCCCCCACCCAGTGACCTGGGACAATTACACACCACTCCCCTTGGCGCCACTAAGAGGCAATACTTCCCCTCTCGTAAGCATGGAGTCTGAGTGTAATGGAAAATGTTTATTAACATGAGGTAAACGACATCAGCATTAAATTGGGAAAACACCACAAACAGGATTCATAGCACAAACCATGAGCAAAAGACCCACCCCCAAAGTCCCAAACACCCCAAAAGTCTCTTGAGTCCAGCAACCCAAAAATCACCCAAAAGTCTCTGTCCCTGGTCAGTACTGCCCCAGAGTTCAAAAGTTTATCTGCAGAGTCTTCCCCCCCCCCCCCAACCTGGATGGAAATGCGGGGGAGAAAGGGGGCACGCAGGGTATTAAGGGGCACCGTATGTGGTCTGAGGCCAACTGCCCCGCCTTTCCATGGGTTTCTGTGGCAGCCTTCACCACGAGCCACTCCACTCCGCATCACTCCAACCATCCCACAAACAGCTCCGCTCGCTCGCTTTCCCATGGGCTGCACCAACTGTCCCACAAACTGCTCTGCTCAGCAATAAATCTTCAGGCTCCCGCACTAGTTAACACAGCACTCAGTGATCTCAGCTCATAGTGATGTCAGCTTGCAGTAGGGGAGCCCCAGTGCTAGTACACTATTAGCCCAAAGTAAACTCAGTATTGCCACCTGTAATTAGACTCTTAATGGAAGCAAATTAGCTCTGTGTGACGTTATTGACATAAACTGGGACCATATAGATCATTGTTGCAACCAAGGTCCTGTAGTGGCACCCACATCTTGTATAAAGGGGGTCAAATGGGCTGTCTAAGACAAGGTTATGGTTTGCTGGTTATGATTATTCTGTCTATATGTGTGTATCAGTTTTGTAGTTGAAGTTATGAATATTGGCTCTATACTGTCTGTATGGCAAACTTATGCTATGCTTCTGGGTGACATCCGAGACAAGCGGGGATTAGCTCTGCCTAGCCTGCTTGATGGCCCATTAAGGACCATCAGCTATACAATGGCCCCATTGAGAGAAGGCAAATATGCCTTGAGATTCAGCAAAGTATGCAGGAACTGGCCCATGTAACTCCAAACTCCATCTTGCTGTAATTTTCCACAGTAAGAACAAAGAGGTGTTCTTACACCTGGAAAAGACTATATAAGGCTGATGCCTCATCTCCATTTTGTCTTCAATCCTGCTTCATACCTCTGGAGGGACTTTGCTACAAACTGAAGCTCTGAACAAAGGACTGATGACCCATCCCAGCGGGGGATGTATTCCAGAGACTTGATTTGAACCTGCAGTTTATTCTATCGCTGCTGCAAGCCTGAACCAAGAACTTTGCCATTACTGTATGTAATTGATTCCATTTAACCAATTCTAACTCTCATCTCTATCTTTTTCCTTTTATGAATAAACCTTTAGATTTTAGATTCTAAAGGATTGGCAACAGCGTGATTTGTGGGAAAGATCTGATTTGTATATTGACCTGGGTCTGGGGCTTGGTTCTTTGGGATCAAGAGAACCTTTTTTGTGTATATTGGGATATTGGTTTTCATAACCATTTGTCCCCATAACAAGTGGCACTGGTGGTGATATTGGGAAACTGGAGTGTCTAAGGGAATTGTTTTTGTGACTTGTGGTTAGCCAGTAGGGTGAGACTGAAGTCCTCTTTGTCTGGCTGGTTTGTTTTGCCTTAGAGGTGGAGAAACCCCAGCCTTGAGCTGTAATTGCCCTGTTTTAGCAATTTGTCCTGAATTGGTACTCTCAGTTGGGTCTCACCAAAACAGCATCATCACACTATGCTATTCAACAGTGGAGGGAGAGGTACAACTGGTGTTTCAGGCCCTCACAAGATGCCCATACCATCAGATACAAATACCTAACCTCTCTCAATTCACTGGGTTTTGTAACCCATGCCCCTTGTCTAGCGAGTGCTACTTAGTTAATGGTGAGTCTCTCTGTCATACAACAGTTCCACTGGCCTTGATTCACAGAATCAGGGTAACAACACTTTATTCTTCCTGCCCCAATAACAGAGAAACTGGGGATCCCACACCAGCCAAAGTAACCACTTTCAGTTGCTGTTGTCCCAGGCTAGGCGAGTGGGTGTGCCTATGCAAAAAATAAATTCTTTTCCACCCTCACCATAATTCACCACCAGATGTCAGGGTAGAGCTCATCCTGACTCTGCTTACATTAGCAAATGAGTTAGTAACAGAATAAGTACCCAAGTTTCTTAATTTCCCTGTGATAGCAACTCAACTTTTGTTAACTGTTTGAAAGCACAAGCTTTAACAACCACTATGTCTTTTTAACATAACATAACAAATGAAGATAGTATAAAATGAAACCCAAATGAAGTTTAAATTCAGGTCTAAGCAAACACATTGAGGGCATTAAACTTTTATATTTGGGTGTGCTTGGGCGACAATGATAGAATCCTCTTGAAATTGGTTAGTTTTAACATTTTGCAACAAAACCAGATATACTAGATATTGTAATATTTTGGACATTTTGGCTGTAACATTCTTATAACTATATTTTCATATTTAATAAAGTGCAAACAAGTTTGTAATTCGTCTCCTCCAAAAAAACTGACATTTTCTTAATATCAGCTTTTCAGTAATGTTGAGGTTTCTCCCTACAGTTTTTCTTTGAATAAAAAAACCCTGTGATTAGTAAACAAGAATCCTTTTCATTTGCAATTGCATTATGTCTTGAGGCAGAAAAAGCATTTCTGGAAGATAAACCTATCTCCAGTCATCACTCTTTGAAAAACTGGAGCTGAGAGGAGTGGGTTTGTCGACTAGGAATGTAATGGGAATCATTGGGTGGGGGGGGTCTTTCCCAGTCAACAATTGGAGACCCCAAAACTTTTACATAGCAGGCACACTTGTTGGGGTCCACAGCTACACCTGAGAAATGGGCTGAGAAATGGTGGGCATGCTGAGTCACATCTAATTCAGGGTACAAACTGGTCTGTGTAACCAGAAAGGATGGAGAGGCCTCAGATTGCAATAATCCAGTGCAGATAAATCAGGCTTATCCACCCTGTATCCTGACACAGCAGTTAAGGTTAGATTTTGAAAACTGTCAGATTCATAAACAAACCCCTTTTCGTGCTGACAAACCAAAACAAAGCTGGGACACGCCCAGAGGGGAACAGCACTCACATACATGTCGGATGCTCCTTGAGAATTGCTGGCTACCGCAAATGCCCCATTTTGCTGCTTCCAAGCCAGTCCCCTTGGCTTCAAAGTGTTGACCTAGTGGATGGGGGATAATGGGGGCAGCACCACAAAACTCTATGTCCGAGCAGCAACGTCAGGGCCTCAGGCTTAATCCTCCAGTCCAGGCTCAAAATCTTCAGCCAAGCCCTTGTTGTTCCCCTCCTGCCTCCGCCTGAGTAGTGAGGGAGAAACCCACAAGATGCGCAGACTCCACCTTCCTTCCTGCCCGCTACTATGTAGACTGTACCCAGGCCTTTGCCTGTGGCGTACCCTGCCAGCGAAGCATGGCCATGTAGCCCAAGCTTGAGCTGCAGCCACAGTCCCGCCCGCCATGGCTGGCCGAGCGCAGAGCAATGTGGGCCAATGCTAGGCTGAGATGGAAGGCTTGGCTCTTTCCCCTGCCAGCCACACCTAGCTGACCGATATCCTGAGAGTCTCGCTTGCATGCCCCTGCAGCAGCTGCCTGCCTCTCTGGGTCGGAAAAGGGGACAAAGAAACACCAATGCTTCAGGCCATGAGATGAGGCACTTACCCCACATGGGAGCGCCGCTTGACTTCAGCCCAGCCAACAAGAAGTGCTGGGGACCTTCCTAGCAGTCTGCAGCCTCAGCAGGTCCCTGACCTCAGGGTCCAGACTCTTGTCACTCTGAAGGCCCCTGCCTCGCTTGAAGATCTAGAAGAAAACAAGGGAGCCTGTTGCTAGCAGAGAATTGTGTCAGTCCATTGACCTCTGTCTTACTGGCCCAGCATGTTACTTCTGCAAAACTGTGTGTGGATAGGTTAACTTGGAGGAACTGGCAGTAGCAGTTGCAAATAAGCTTCCCTTCAATAGCTTAGATGGTAGAGTGGAGGCCTGTAGCAGCCCAGGAGTGGGTTTACCATGAAACAAACCGTGTGGTGGCACGGGGTCCCCAATGACAGGGGGACCCCCAAAATGCGGGACAAAGCTCATCTGACAATGTGCCCCTTAGTCCCGGCTGGGACTCAGGCAGGCTCCCTGCATGCTGTGGCCAGTGGCCCCACGCCGCTCCCGGAAGCGGCTGGCTGCTGGTAAAGTCTCTGCGCGCCCCTGGCGGGGGTGGAGGTGACTCCACGCACTGCCCCCACCCCAGGCAACACACAGAGACCCACTGCCCCCCTCCTCCCAAGGGTCGTGCATAGACGTGCCCGCAGTGCTAAGGTGGCTCCCTGACCACTCCGCCTCCCTCCCTCAATGCCGCACTGCTACCAGAAGTGTCCGGCATGTCCCTGTGGCCCCTCAGGGGTGCATCTCCATGTGCTGCCCCGCCCCAAGCACCGACTCCACAGCTCCCATTGGCTGGGAACTGTGGCCAATGGGAGCTGCGGGAGCAGTGCCTGTGGACAGCGGCATGTGGAGACCCCCTGGTCCCCCCTTGCCTAGGAGCCAATGCTGGAGGGGTGTATGTGCCAGTCACTTTGGGAAGCACGCTGCCCGAGGTAAGCGCTGCCCTCTGACCCCTCCTGCACCCCAACCCTCTGCCCCAGCCCATAACCCGCACCCA